GATGGCTTCTTGTACCTCCCATACTTGGTTGGCGTCGACCATCTAAATGAACAAATAGATATTTGTGGTAAAATTAAGAGTAGATGAGCAAGGCGGGTTCTGGCACAAAATCCCATGTGTTTTCTTATGGAGCTAAACTTTTTGCAATTTTCGTGACATCCGAGCGGAACCTTGTGGAATATCCAACTCGAGGTGTGTTTCGGAGTGGGAGAAAGAAACTTGTGACGTAATCGATGCAGAGAAGGATGGAATGAGTATCGTAGAGATTCAAAGAGCGTGGACCCTATTGGAACTCTGCCTCAGCTCTCGGGCTCCCTTGTCACGTACCAGTCACGTGGTCCTAATTATAAAAAGTGTATCGGCATGAGAATCGAACCCAGGTTGTCAGCGTGGTAGACGTTGTCCTTAGCCTCAACACCAACGTGAAATATTGGAAGTAATTACGAATTGTTGATATTTATAGCGGTTGTATTGTCGGGACTGAAATCGACTCTTTCTATATACTTGACCGCATTTTTTTATTTTCGTAGAATGTTAAGGAAGGTGTGACGTCATTGTCATGAAGAAGGGAGGAACATATCCTTAGATTTGGGAAAGAATTGATGTTTCATATAAAGGTGTGTGTTTGTAGGAGTGAGAGAGACACATGTGACGTAATCGATGCAAAGAGAGATGGAGATGGATATTTCCCTATCTTCTTCATGACAATGACGTCATAATTTCCCTAACATTCTACGGAAATAAAAAATGCGGTCAATTTCAGTCCCGACAAAACAACCGCTGGAAATATCAACAATTCGCGATTACTTTAATTATTCCACGTTGTTGTCGAGGCTAAGGACAACGTCTACCACGCTGGGTTTGATTCTCATACCGATAAACTTTTTTTAATTAGAACCACGTGACTGGTTCTTAACAAGGGGGCCCGAGGGGTGAGGCGGAGTCCTAAGGGGCTCCACGCTCTTTGAATCTCTGCGATACTCATTCCATCCTTCTCTGCATCGGATGTCACGAAAATTGCAAAAAAGTTTAGCTCCATAAAAAACATGGGATTTTGTGCCAGAACCCGCCTTGCTCATCTACTATTGAGTCATTCAAAATATATTGTACATAAAAGGCAAAACACAATCGTACTTTGTCAATGCTATTTTCTGGGTTTGATGGAGTTGGTCTGCAGGTTTTATGCATGACACCACCGAGAGACATTATCATTACTACCGCTGTTGTAAACTTAGGCACAAACCTGTAAACCATGGTCAATAAACCCGAAAAATAGTTTTGACAGAACAGAACCTGTACTCTGTTCCCAGGGCTTGAATTTCCTGGGGCAGAATAATCCACTCCAAGGTTGACACACCATTGTACATTTTCTTCGATCTAGTGAGCACCTGATCAGCAGCCAGGCTTTGGAAAACATCGTCAGATATATAAGCAGCACAAATTTATTGCTTGGGAAATAGGTCTCTTCCCGTGACTGCATCCACCAGCCAGAAGACGATTTTCTGGCTGTATCCACCGGCCAGAAGACGCTCTTTTGATCTTCTCGGGTAACTTGTAGCCATCCAAGCCTGAACGTGCAGCCATCTTCTGGAATATCCTTTATGACAGCTATAATGGCATACTGAAGAGATTCCAGTTTCAGCTTTCTAGTCTTTGGTTTGGGTAAATCATTGAGCATATAAGTGTTAGCTGCTCAGGGGAAGTTTGTTTATTCTCTGCTCCTCAAGAATGTTGTGCAAGGCAGATTTATAAGATATCCTGCTCTTGAGGAAAACTGATCATGATCCGATGTTGGGGTCGTTTAGTCGTCGTCCATCTTCTCTGCAGACTTGGGATCGGATTCTTTGGCTACTTCATGGCCATAAAGGGTCCCACGAATAGCTAAGGAAAGGAAGTCAATCACGTCAGAGCCCGTATTAACGTGACCCTACTTTTTACGATGGTTCCGTTAGTGACACTGAATGATCTAGGACACGACTAACAGAATTACAGGTATCGCACATTGTATAAATTGGGGATTTTTTCATTATATTTGTTTGTGGAGTGTTGAGATAAAAGGTGACACTATTTCTAGATGACCGTCTAGGAATTAAAAAATTCAACATATGTAACAATTAAGAGCAGGTAATGATATTGTTTATGACCTTGAATAATAAAAAGAAATAAATAATATTCACGCCTCACCTCGAGACTACAAAAATTATGAGTTTCTAGCAATGCATAATAGAATATTTCTACAGTAGGATGTCTCTCAAGTTTCAAAGACATATATTGTAAGAAGCACCTCTATAAGGCTTCTACTTGATTTATATGAACCTGATAGTAGGGACTCCACACAACAGATGTATAACACAACACAAGAGATATATAATCTATAATCTAATTATTTCCAAATTCCACAGAGGACTCCCGAATTACAACCCTTGAACTCCATGAAGTACTTGATTTTACTGCCAGAATAAAAACAAGTAATATTCGAAATACTCACCAAAGTTCGATCCCATCCAATAATTGTTCTGATGAACTCCAACCTCTTGATATCATCATAGAGGTTCTTTCCTACTTTAACTTTGAAAGCTGTGAAGCCCGCATCCATGTACTTCTTGGCAAGTTGGGCGATTTTTTCGTTTGAATATCCCAACCATCCTAAAATTATACCACACTAGAACATTTTCATTAAAAAAGTTTCCAAAGTGATCTTCGCAGTCAACTTTTTTTATAACAAGAAACAACAGTTTAATTTTACCGGCTTGGGTAGTGTAGCATGGGTACCCCTTTTCCAACAGTTTGTTCACTCTCTCCTCTTTTCCCTCTCTTCCTTTCCTCAATAATTCCAAAGCCTCCTCTTTCGTGATGACATTCGACAGGTACCTGAAGTCAATGCAGGATATCAGCTGCTCTGGTTCCAAATCTGCCAACAGTTGCCATACTGGTTTCTTCACCAATTTACCCCACAGGTCCCACAGAGCGTTTATGATGGCAGCAGTGGCAAGGTGAGTTACTCCTTTTTCAGGCCCGATCTGAAAAGTATCCAAAGTGAGTATAAATGCAACTCATTTGGGGAAGAATTTAAGGATTGCGGGTTGTTTTCTTAAAAAATACCAAGCATATTCCAATTCACTCACTCCACATGACTGACCCTATGCAGGGTGATTCTAAAGTACTTTGACAAACTTCAGGAGGTGATTCCTCACAATATTCTAATATGAATTGTCCAAATGAATAAATGTCCGGAAACGCTTCGTTTCCAAGATACAGGATGTCGAAGTTTTATTTTTATTTTCGTTTTTTTTCAAATAACTTTTGAAATACTTAACTTAATTAAACGAAACTTGGTAATAGGAGGTGTCGAATTCGAACCTGATGTTCATTCATTCGTCGAATGAATGGAGAAACAAACATAAAACGAGAAGTGAGGTCTTGATCACAATAATAATATTCCTTTTGGTTTTGCGATTGAAGAAATTAAAATAAAAGAGTGTGGAATATTCAATGATTCGTGTAAAAAATATTCATAATAAAAAAATATTCATAATAAAAAAATATGATATGTTTGCAGACAGTTATTGGTATCGATAAGAATTATGATGATGATGATGATGATATTAGATCTTCCTCATCTTCTGTTTCTAATTTAGGCAACAGTATATTTGATCTTGGACTGCAATATGATTTTAGAACAATGAGCATTCAAATGGTAGTGAGAACGGGTGTGTGACTTGCAAAAGCTAGGTGCAGAAGCGTGAGATGTTTCGCGTGATAGTAATGATCTCCTTGATGATGTAATATTTGTGATCCTCTCTTTGAGACAGTTGGGACGTTTTTAAATTTCAATAGCTTCGGGTATTATCCTGGCCCCTCTGGACCTGTACGTTAAGGTTGAGTTGATGGTCATGTTACGATCGCGCACGGCTGGAGTAAATCTCGAAGTAGGAATGGGTCAATTGAGGCTGAGCCTATGACGAGAAGCGCTTACTGCGCAACCTCTGCTGCAGGCAACCAGTGATACAATACCCAGGTTTGTGTTTAATGAACCCTACAAAATACAAATGAAACAGAACACAGAGTCAGATGCTACAAATGCAATACGCATATATACAGATGGCTCAAAAGCCAAAGAAGGCTCAGGATGTGGAGTGTACTCCAGATCGCTAAGCCTAAGGATTAAGTGGGGAATGGGAAAACCAGCGTGGTCCAAACAGAACTGGCTGGTATTTCAATCACACAAAAGAAATGGCCAGGAAAGGAATTTCTGGCAAAAACATAACAATCTGCACTTACAGCAGACAAGCCCTATTAGCCTTGAACAGCCTACTACTAGAGTGCTACCGAGATTTAGCCAAAGCCTCGGTAGATAATAACAGAGGTAATCGAATTGCCGACTGTTCAGCCAAGGAAGCGGCTGGACTAAGAATCTTAGGACTCAGTGGCACCTACGGCCTGATGACTTCGACAATTACGGAACTAGCCAAATGTTACACCCAAGCCCAATCCCTAAAGAGATGGGATGGAATCAAAGGATACAATCTTGCCAGTCTTGCGAGTCTTGGCCTACACCTGCCGATATAAAGGAGATGTCTCCAAGTGACCTGTCCACCTTCCTGGAAAGGACAGAATGGACGATGACCTAGGAGGGCAACTCCTCGAGTGGATGTTCAATTGGTCACATGTGGCCTAAATGCTGTGGGCTTACACTCACCCTCTTTACTCTACAGATACAGATTATCCTGGTCTGGAGAGTTTTTCGGTGGCAATAGTTTTGGTGTTTACGAAGCTCATTGTGGGGCCTGTTTGACGATGATGTTTGAAAAGGGATGAGGCTGGATCTGACTTACGAACAGCAAGTTCATGTTCGTAGGCTCTGTTGGAGATTCTTCTGTTGGTCTGGCCGATGTAAGTTCTGGAGCAGGTGAAATATGGTATTGCGTATATTCCTTGTGCCTCATTGGGTATTGTGTCCCTAAGTTTCCATAGAAAAGTGGAAATTCGATTGTTGACTGAAAACACCGCTCATAGAATATATCTCCACAAAACGACACACACTGTGCCAAACTCCATGAATATAAAAGCTTTTGGGTGGTCCGTCTGTTCATTGGGCTGTTTGTTATGTGGGATTTGCTGAAGTTGAATGGTTCTTTGGATTTGGGATAGTTGCTTTGGCGAAGGGCGGATTTGAGTTCGTCTGGTTCCTTGGATCTTTTGTGGCTATCAGTGAGCCTGATATACCCGTGTATGCGATAATTCAAAAAGGAATGTAATTGGGAATCATTGGATTTTGTGATGAGAACGTCCAGGAATGGAATTGTGTTGTTATTTTCCACTTCCATTGTGAATTTTAGGTCGGAATGTAAAGAGTTGACGTGGTTTACGAATGTATAGAGACTTTCAAATCCGTGAGGCCATATAACAAAGCCATCATCTACGCCAACACGTAGATTTGAGGTCAGACATGTCAGTGGCTCTGGTTTCAAAAGTCTTCCATGTAAAAGTTTGTAAAGACTGGAGAGAGTGGAGAGTCTTTCACTTGTATGTGAAATTTGCCCTGGAAAAGGAAATGGCAGGTGCTCGACATGCAGTGGTTGATGATGTTGAGAGCGGTTGGAGAGTATTATAGCAATTTATTTGGCAAGGGCGAGTGTGGAGAATCCGAAGGCACTTACGATGGGACGTAGTGGGATGTTTGGTTTGTATATTTTCGGAAAATCATACACACGAGGTGTACGTCAAGATTTTTCTCTTGGAATGAGAGATTTCTTCTTGTTAGCGGAAATGTTGAAGTTGTTGACGAGTGCTTTGGCCTTCTCTTCAAGGTATGTTGTGGGATCTCTGGTTGTTGGTTGGTATTCCAGAGACGATCGTCTTTCACTTATTATCGTTCAACCTGTGCTAGAAATCGCACGTTGAACGGCAAAACCTCGTTAATATTCACCTCGCACAAATTTTGACTTCTGAGAGTTGTTGTTCGTAGGGGAGCGACAGCTGGTTAACGGAAAACAGATTTAAAGTAACGGCTTCAATATTTAGAGATTTAACGGTTTAGAAAGGATTCCTGAAGAGTGAGCAAGTAGTATTCTAATATGGGAGATTACTGCCGAATAATTTTCTACTTTATTATTATTCTTATTTACTTTCCTATTTCTAACTTTGAAACCGCAGTCACTATTGAACTACGGAAGTCGCTATCTCTCACTTGCAGACATTTTTTTACCTGTTGAAAAACTGATCAATGAGTTTGAGATATAAATCAAGTGTTAAACAAATAATTGTTCCAATGATTTATCATTATCATTAGAAACGTATATTCAAGTGGTATAAATATATCAATATGATAACGATACTGGAATTTTTTGAAAAGATAATTATCTATTTTATTCTAATTACTAAATGCCACGAATTGTTTTCGACGAAAGATATATAAAATGCATCAAATAAGTTGCCAGAAAAATTCAAAAATTCCCAAACTCGTAATGTTTCCGAACAAGAACTAGTTTGAACATGTACGTTTATTCAAACGTCGTCGTCAAAACATGAATACGCTGGCTGTTCAAATGATAAGATGAATTTTCATTTTTCTCAAAAAAAATTATTTATCCATTAATTTCTATTTTGTCTCTTTCAAACTGGTCCCCATCAGACATAATCACGCGCAGGTGCATTATCATGATGCAAAATCCATTAATTGTTTTTCCACAATACCGAACGTTTTTTTCGTATTGCTTCTCCCAAGCGCCGCATAACTTCAAGATAACCTTCGAAACTTTGAGATAAGTGTCGTATAATGTCTTAGATCCTTTTTTGATAGTCAAAATTATTAAATACGACAAATTGCTGATGAATAGAACATTTTTCTTTGTGAAACATACTTTCAATTCGTGTAATTTATCGGGTTAAACTTAAAAGTTTGTTCGTTCTACACGTGTATGCAGTTCTCCATTAAAATTTCCATATCTTTCATATTGTGGAAGGTGGTCGGTAGAAATAATTGTTTTTCAACTTTTTCGCTTTTTGAAGTACTTCATAGTCATATTTGGCTCACTGGGTAGTTTAGCTGAATAGCAATTTCAAAATTTATGTGACTTTTCTTTCGGAAAAATTCTCCTTAAAAAGTGTTTTGTTTGTTCTCCCTACCCTTTTTTACTTTGATCAATCAAAGATCATATTGAATCACTCTACAGCTATAATATTTGTCACAATGTAGAATTCTTCACTGTGAAAGTATCTATGGAAGAGAGACACATCTCCAACCTTTCTTCGATGTTCCAGGCTATCAAGGTTGCACGTGATGTTCGCGTCTCCAATCAGGCGGATGGCTCTTTTCTGGATGGAATCCAGCAACTTCAGGGTATGTTTGGGTGCAGAGCTCCATACATGAGAACAACACTCCGAAGAAGGTCTGATCTGAGCTTTATAAAGCATCAAAACTTGCTGAGCTGTGTACAGTTTTCTGGTTCGGAACAGTGTTCCCCAAGCTTTTGAGCAGCAGCCTTTGCAATTCCAGCGACATGATTGTACCAATATTGGTGTCTATTTTAACCCGCAACAAACTTATCGAAACAGAAAGCGGAATTGTCTGACGTGACGTTATTATATCCGGTTCGGAGACATTTATCTTCTTGGAGAAAACCGATGTCTGGATTTTTGTGGCATTGAATTGCAACTGGTTACTTCCACCCCAATTCTAAAGCACTTCTAGATCCTCATTAAGATATGCAACCTTCTGCTGCCGGTAAAGATGTGCCTCCGTAGCTGATGTCCTGGAATCCAAATGTAATGATGAGACAAGTGTGCTGTCGTCAGCAAAGCAATATATTGGATACTTGGTTTTGTCCAATAAGTCGTTGATATACAATAAAAAGGGGGTTGGAGGCAATATGGATTCCTAAGGAACACCAGCGTTGATAGTGAAAGTATTTGAGAGATATCCATCGACGGCAATTTGCAGGGAACGTTCTTTCGGGAAATTAAAGAGCCTTACACAGAAATGTTCCGACAAACCATAGCATCGAAGTTTGGCCAGCAAACCCTCATACCATACACAGTCAAAGGCCTTGGAAATATCATTCGCAACTGATCTTGACTCTCCATCTGACGTTTAATGTATGAGTGACTTGAATCTCTTAATTTTTGTTGTTGTTGGAGTCATGCTTGTCAGACCTTTCAATATGGGGCTTCTGCTTGATAATTAGTTGTTTCGTCAAATAAGGACTGGAGTTTTGGTAGAAGCTTTCAATGTAGTTCTAATGGCCAGGTACTGAGTCAATAAAAGGATCATTGATAATATTTGCATCTTCTATATCAAGTATTTAGAACACTCCTGAAGAATCCATTGCATGGTAAAACGCGTGTTGCTATTTCGTATGGATTTTCATCAAGTATTGGCACTGAAGTGTTCAAGATGGCCGCATTGTACTGACATATGTGGTCTAAGCGAGTGTGCTGCATATCAGATTATAATGTTGGGTCCCCTCTTTCACGAAGACTTCTAAGGGTTGCTAAAAAGAAAGCTAACACTGCGAGTTTGCACGAACGATTTTCATGAATCTCGAACTTTAAGAAACTTATCTTTCATTGATCAAAATCATCCGATTATTTTTTAGATATTTAATAATCAGTTCACATTAACGTAAGAGTCTCTGATAATTTCAAGATTGTATTTCTTTCTAATAACCTTGTCGAATAAACATCATATTTAGAAGTAACCACTTCTGATTGTTTTATCGCAAAAATTACATGAAACTTTGATTGAAAATATCTGTGAGTAGGTACCTATCTGATAAATATAATTCACAGTGATTATGAAATTAGATTTACAAAGACAATAAAATTCGTGCAAACTTTAGAATTTTCCTTTCCATTATATGTTATTTGATTCTGTTGCAAAATGTTATTCCTGTTTTACCCAGTGGGGTATTCAAAATATTGTTTATTTTTTCTATAACACGTTGGACACCTCCCTTTATAAGCCACTGAAGTTTTCTCTTTACTATTTTTTCAATGATTTTAATTAAATTATTATTTTTTGAAAGTTGAGCTGAAATCTTTGGTTTTCATAAAACAAGTGTTTTGGATCGCTGAAATATTTTAATGTTCTATGAAGCTTCTCCTCATTTCTTGAGGTTAGATAATCATGCGACAAGAAGAGTGAGCAAAACTTCGACATTTGACAACTTGGCGTGTTTTTTTTATCATAACCATATTCATATACCAATACCATATACCATGATAACCATATACCAATGATTCGTTACCAGTTATGACCCTTCTAAGCAAAACTGGATGGCCGTTGATGTCATCCAACAATTTTTGAACGAACTTCGCTGCCACACGCTTCATGCTCAAAATTTCCGAAAAAATTGCATGGCATGAGTCAACCGATACACGGACATCCTCAGCAACTTCTCTAATAGTTATTCGACGATTCTTGATAACTATTTTCTGTACTTTCTCAACATTTTCATTGGTTGTTTTTGTGCTGTCGTTTCTGAGAATTCACTGCCAATTATTTTGGAAATATAGTATAGTTTTCAAGCAAGATACAGCAAGGACAAAAGAAACCTCAAATCAAAAAACTTCTTTAAGATCATCGTAGAGTTAAACCAAATCTTTACCAATTCAGGTTGAGATTCAATACAAATATTTCGTATCAACTAGTAAATGATAACATAGAGATCAGGTTCATCTATATTCATTATATATTTATTAGTGGAAGAAAGGGCTTTTTTGACATTTTCAGGAGCTCAAAGTATCAGTTTGATCATGTAATATTGACACCAAAAAGTTTGTTCCAACTTTTGTTTTGATAGAATGGGGAGAACGTTTTTCAATAGAATGAAAAACATAGAAGCTATTTTTGAATGAAAAATGGATTGTACAAGTTGCGATTCATCTTTCGGTGTAGAGGTATGGAATTGAATCCAGACTTTGTACCAGGTACTGAATTCTTCAGGGAAAATTATGAAAGTTAATATTTTGAAATATATAGAAGGTAATAGAAGAGGTTCAAGAATTCAGAATAATGGATTGATGACTCCTTTCATCATCTTTAGCACTGATGAGAATCCAAGTAGAAATAACTACTCCATTCGTGAAAGACTATTACTTAGTATTAAGTATTGTAAAAAAATTGGTGGGGATATATCTATATCGAAACACATTAACTACTGATAAAAAACTCACACAATTTTTTTCAATATTTCATATGTGTGTGTGTGTGTGTGTGTGTACGCGCGTGTGTGTGTCACGAAACAGATAAGTTAAAATGATAAAAATGTAGTCGACATCATTTGGCCTCATGGACATGAGGATATGCCTGATCTCAAATGGTGAAAAAACAAACAAAAGAAACTGAACCCATCCTGCCTCACGTCAGAGTAGTTACAGATAAAATAGAAAGAATTCTAAACCGATACAACATAAAAACAACATATGAACCTGGAAAACCATCAGAAATTCCTTAAACCCAACTCAAAAGACAAAGTCAACCTAGAAAACAAAGACATTTATAAAATCGTTTGTGAATATTGCAGCGGAGAGTACATCGGACAAACAAATGAAAGAATATCAGCCAGATAAGAGGAACACAAACTCCCACTCTCGCAAGAAACAAACAACCTATGCCCTATACAAACACCACCTTGAAACAGGTCACAACATCGACTTCAAAAGCACCAGAAAACCAGGATCATAAGGGAGGCAACCGAAATTGAGAAGATAGGCAGTCTAAACAAAAGGGATGATGCACATTAACTCACAGCTGTATGAAAAACCATAATATCCAAAACTAAGGCCAGTACACCACCTATAGCGAACGCATCGCCCGGAACAATGATCAATGTGGTTCCAGTCGAGCGGGACACATCACACCACCGATATACCCCTCCAACCAACACGAACTCTTCTCACCAAGCGTGCACGACGCCGACCAATAAGGTTTTTGAAAAGAAGACGTCTCTCTGAGAAACCTATTACAAACATCTGTTGAATGTAGTTTAATATCCGTAGTAGTATTAGCCAGGTGAGTGTAGCTTTTCTGGCAGGAATCTACCTATTCCTGTTATCAAACATTATTAAATAAGTTCACTTACCCATCGGATTTGACTCTCGCTCGTTAGAGATCTCCAGAAGGTTCCAAATTCCTTGTAGATGTCAGTCACGACTTGGCCAATGACCAAGGGACTCAACGATTCGATAGCCGCTACGACAACTTCCGTACCTCTTCCGCATGTGAATGTCAAACCGTGACCTTCCAGTCCTGACTGAAGTTTTATAGTGACGTACGCGCAGGAGTAATCGGGGTCAGTGTGCTGAAAATGTTGAGATAAGTTTTTGAGTGAGAATGGTAGAAATGAACTTCTCATCTTCCAAAATATTCTTCATGTTTCACTGAATTGATAAACTGTAAAGATAATTGTTTTCTTTATTCACATAATGTATATGTAAATATAGGGCCTTTCATCAAGCGCTATCTTTAAATTTAAATAAAACAAAGTGTGTATGGGTTATCATCGAAATTCTGTATTCGTTTGAAAAATTTATTGGTGCAATTATGCGTGGAAAATAACATTGTTCAAATGTCCGTCACGGCTTCTCTCGGTGGAGCGCATACGAATAGTCCAATTTTCCATGACTCTGGTACATAAATCAGACTGAATTTGACCGATGGCATGGGTTATGTTGGCTTTGAGGACCGCTGCGACTCTAGAAAATCCCACAAGAAAAAGTCTAACGGGGTCAAATCACACGATCACGGTGGCCAGTTCATATCACCTGACCCGGTCCCTCTAATCGCTCGTGCAGAATATCCAATGTGGCATGAGCTGCATGGCACAGTGCCGTCCTGTTGAAACCACATGTCGTTGGTGTCCAAATCATCCAATGCAGGCCAAAAGAAGTTGATAATCATCGACATATAGTGCTCGCCGTTGACAGTGATGGCCTGGCCAACGTCGTTCTCAAAGAAATATGGACCGATGACGACGCCACCCCAAAACCCACACCAAATAGTGACTTTTTCGGGATGCATTGGGCGCTCTTGGATCTTATGTGGATTGTTATCGTCCCAAATTCGACAATTCTGTTTGTTCACGTACCTATTCAGCTGGGCCTCATCGCTGAAGATGATTTTTTGAAGAAAATTAGGGTCAGTTTCCAACTGCTTCAGATCCCATTCAGCGAACACACGTCGTTGTCTTTGGTGGTTTACCTTCATTTCCTGGGTCAGTTGAATTTTGTACGACGCAAAATTCGCCAAGTTGTGGTGTGCAAAAAGCCGAGTTCTTGCGAGCGACGCGAAATCGACTGCCTCGGATTCTCCTGCACACTCTCACAGACAGCGGCGGTGTTTTTGGCATATCTTGCGTTTTGTCGACGTAAGGGTGTTGGCGACCGTGAAATGGACAAAGCGCTCGGTACGTTGCCCAAACAGAACACCCATTTTGATAGAACAATTTTATTATTTGCCCGTGTTTGTTGAATGTTATATCCGACCATGGTGATTTAGCAAAACAGACTGTGTTCAGACCCATCTGTTACGCATCGGTTCAGCGAGGGATGTATAAACCCTTGCGAAATGATCGACCATCAACACTTCAAAATCGACCCTTCAGCTGGCAAGAGCTCAGACGTTGTTTCACGATTAACAATATTATTTTTGCTATACGGCATTTTGCATCAATATAAACGTTAGAAAATCAGTACCACAGTTTCACTACACGAAGAGATTGGAAAAATGGCAACTAATTTGATAGATGTAACTTCAACAAGATGGCCGTTATCAATTGTCAGAGTTCGAAAGTCCTTGTTGGAATACCCTAAATATGATAATGGTACATTACAAATAGTATTGTTGTAAATTATGCCCGAAAAGAAATAACGCCGGCCGCCACCGGTAACCATAAACCAAACGTGACGTAGCTAAGGGCGTGGGACTATCCAATGTTACCTGCCGCTCAAGAAAGAGGAAGAAACATGTTACCGATGTCCATAGAACTTCGGCGAAATTATACGCTGTTCCATTGCGATATTTAAACGCTGGCTGCAAGCGTATTCACACAGTCGAGTACACAGTGAAGTGGACGTAACAGTGCGATACGCAAAGTGATCTAGTCAGGCGATAGACATTAAAATAATTGTTGAATTTTTAGTTGAAGTGTTTGTTGTATTTCTAACGAAATGAAATTAAATTTGATTATTCAGTGTATTTAATTATTGGTGAAACCACAGGTAAAAACGTAACACTATTAAATCAACAGAAGCACATGATAATGTCGCGGCTTCGGCTCGTAAAACACTTGGTTTTGTATTACGAAACTGTCAATCAATAAAGTTCTTTCACTACTACATTTTTCAGTTGTTCGATCCAGATTGCAATATGTCACTTTATACACTATCTGCATTGATACTTTGGGAAAAGTAAAGCGACGATTTTTGCTATTCAGAATTGATGCAACTTCTCCATCCAGATATAGGAAATAACAACTCGGCTTCATTACAAAGGTTGGGGCTACCCTCTTTAGAAATGTTTCATTTTCTTGCACAAAATTATTAATGGAATCATAGTATGTCATACTATGTATATCATAGTATATTATACTATGATGGAATAGTGGATGCACCTTTACTACTGGAGCAAGTTTCAATGTAATTCAAGTCAAAATGGGAAGACAAATGACTTTTTACGTTCCGTTATTTAGAATAATCTTGGTAGTACTTCTCCAATAGTTATAATGTCTTCCAAATTAAACAAATATTGTCATCAATGCGATATTCACTTACTCACATTAGTCTCTATTAATATTTTGTAAGGCCTTTTACAAACACTACAAAACAGTTACTTTAACATTTTATATGAAGATAGGATTTCTCACTTATAGTTTGGATAAATATTATCTGTCGGAATGTTTTGGCTAAGAAGCTTCTTCCACCGATTATAAAGGCTGAATTTCGAAGGAGTTTTGAGCTAGTAATATGAGGGTATATATACGTGGCTCTCCACTTAAATCAGCGAATTTTAATCATCAATAACCTTTTCCCGTTTTTAGCAAGAACAAAATTAGTGCACTAGGTTAGATGGGTCTTCCTCTAAAACGAATCAATTTTCTTAATATTTTTCCAATGACCAATATAACACGGCGTTATTAGATATATAGTTATTGGGACGCTAGTCAAATAAAACTGACAAATTATACTTCATTACACTACTGTTGTCAAGATGATTATCTATTTGAATTTTTCACAAGTCTTGCGTAAGAATCAACTCACCATAGCATCGGATCCATCTGCTTGTAAGGATGTGGGAAATCTCATATCCTTGACAGCCAAAGACACGATTTTTAATTTCTCTGCGGTGTGACTCATTTTGCCTTCTTCAATGCCGATCTTGACTACTGTCTTTCCAAAAACAAAATGATTATTTTCCTTGCAATTAGCGGTATATATTATATATCACAACTCATTAAATTTACTTTACTTATCGATGTTTTTTAAATTTCAAGGGCACGCGTTATGAGATCCGCGACGATATTGTTTGAGAATCCACAGCAATCATGTGAGAAATATCTAGGAGTTACGTAAATATTGGAAACGTTCCTTATCAAAACAGATTTCGTGGTCGTCAACGCGGAATCCTAACTAGCATATGCACTCCATTGAAATGCACTCGATTCCCTTTGAGTTTAGCTGAATTAAAATGTGGTGTCATTTTACTTGAATCCAACAATTTTTCAAAAATTACAAAACAGTTCATTTTCAGAACGGAAGTCAACTATCAGAAATATTAGGCCTATTGTGGCCTCTTTCCTTGTTGAGACTTAATCAACTTAACACATTATGTGAATCTGTTTTAGAATTTCCATTTTTCTACTTCAGGTGACATTCATCTCTCTTCTTACATCTATTCCTATAGACTTGTGCGCATTGCCAATTGCACAAATCAATTTATTGCAGAGTGCAACAGACTGTTGGTTGACATTGGAAATCACAGCAATCTGGAAGTGACCTCTGACTTTATGCCTCCAACTGTCAACTACGAACTGCCATATAAAGTACTGTTCCCGAGTGGAGAGGACTGGATATTCCAGGAGATGGAAATATTAAGAGCAGATAGTTGTTGGTTCACAGATGGATCAAAAACACCTTCCGGTTCTGGTCCATCAGGTGTTTTTAGTCGCAGACCTAGGACAGATATATCTACCTGCCTAGGAAATTTACAGTATTGAATTGTGTGCGGAGAGATTGGATAAATCCAACCTCATACACACGTCAATTGGCGTTGGTAGCTTTGGCTCCTACCAAGCAACGTCTAAATTGGTACCAAATTGCCAAAAACGACTCTCCTCGATAGGACAACTTAACAGATCGTCTCTAGTCTGGATTCCTGGCCATACTGGCCTGGAAGGCACTGAAGCTGCTGACTCTCTTGCAAAGGAGGGTGCTGCAAGCAGCTTCCTCGGACCAGAACATGTCATTGGCATCGCTTTAGGCTTTGCCAAACAAACTTTGAACACCTGGATGGCAAGAAGATTTATGGACTTCTGGCAGAATCTTCCAGGATTGGCTCACTCCAAGGCGTTTATTCTTCGAAGCTTGATACCAAACAGTTGTTGGACTACAGTAGGGATGAACTACGATGTCTAACAGGCCTTCTCACAGATCACTGTCATTTGAATCATCAAATGCAGAGACTTGGACTGGCGGAAGACAGTGTGTGTCGCCTCTGTTTGGAAAATGATGAAACAGCAGAGCATATACTTTGTGCCTGCCCCGCTGGGGACCAAATCAGGTTCTTAGAGTTCGGCAGAGCCGTACTCTTACCATCTGATCTGAAAGACCACTCACCATACAAACTAATCGGCTTCGTTAAGAAGCTGGGTTTATTTGGCCGAGTGTGAATAGGTGTGGGCCACAATGAACCCTTGCGGGTTGCGGTGCAGGGTCGAATAGACCCTCTCACTTTAAACCTAACCTAACCTGACCTACATCTATTCATATCTCATCATAATTTTTTTCTGTTCCCAATCACTGCAAACTCTTATTTATGGAGTGTTTCGTAAGACATTTGCTACACTCTCAGTGATAATTCCTTCAATTTTTCTCAACAGTCTTAACATAACATTCAAACCCGTGTGTTTGAGGTTATTGAAGTGATTTTTTTATAGGAGGGTAAACCGCTTGATAACGTAACACATAACGGCGCCAGTATGCCTGGCTTCCTTTCTCCTCACTCTAACACACAGCACTAGCCGTATTTCGGACAAACATTTCTCTCGTCTCTCTTCGTATGACTCAGTGTTCAGTTTGCGGTCGACATATAGTTGACAGTGAGCATATAACGTAAAACTATCACCACTTTTGAAAGTGATTATAAAAGTTTTGATGAAACAAGAAACAAGCAGAAGATGATCCTCGGAACATTACAAAATCTCCTAACGAAAGGTTAGTTTAATAATAAGTGGATCCTCTACAACAAGAGACGTTCAGGATAGTTGATGGACACTGATGAGCCACCCAGGCACTTCCCAAAAGCGATAACCCACCACTTTCTGCAACCGTGCCAAACCATCACAGCAAGGTTCTATTGTGAGGAAATCGACGAAATGTACATAAAATTGCGTCAGCAGCAGCCGGCATTGGTCAACGGAAGAGGTCCGATCCTGCTCCACGACAACGTCTGTCTGCACGTTTCACAAATCACTGTCCAAAAATCAAACGAATTGAGCGTCGAAGTTCTGCCTCAACCACCATACTACCCAGACGTCTCCCCAATCGAAACACAATGTGAAATTGATATTCTGAACAACTGAAACCGTTAAAAATTAGCTAGAGATCCTTGAGGGCTTATAGCAACACTGTAAGTAGACCAGTAGACCAACTGTGGATCGGTCTACACTGGAACCCATGATGAGAAGTGTATAAGTACCCGGCTCTTAGAACACAAGAGAAATTGTCGCTTGGGGCATACTTATTAATCAGTAATAGCAGAATATGCAATCAGAGAAGGTATAGTCGAAGTAACCTGTATTGTGAATAGTTAAAGCTATCGGCATTTCAAAGGCCAAAAAAACAATACAGAGAAATAATGCCGCTGCCAACTAGCCCACGTGGACTGAAGAATTGGCGGTTCATATTGGATAATTTTTACTAACCGAGTGTTATGATTGGCTCATTGAAGTCATGTTACGGTGACGAATAGAATGTGGGAATGAGTATCGCCGTTGGGTCGTCAATGTTCAGTTCAGGAACTGTTTGCGATTTCAGTGTTGAAATTCGATATTGGTGCAGTTATAATTACTTAAAATTTTTGTTATCTGTTTGAAATGTGGCATCCTTTGACAAGTACTAATAGTAATAACGAGTGTGATAACAACGCAAACAAACTGTTACAACAACATCAGATTTGACCGAAATTCCTTTCTCAACTGTAGGTACGTAAAACCTTATGAACGCAATACGCGATGTGATACGAGATAACCAAAACCATTAGATGTTCATCTAATGAAATCATTGAAAAAAACAATATATGCCTGTTACAAAAGCAATGAGATTCCTACAACTAAAATCATAAGGAAGAAATTNAAACAGAAAGCTACATAAACGAAATATAACAAAAAGTCAGCTCCCTAACTATATAATTGAAGAGGTACTGCTGGAAAGTAGGTTGTACTATATCGTTTACTTGAACTATACCTATATTATCGAGTTTGAAGAGACCCAAGTTACTATCCAAGATAGTAATTCAGAAATAATTTCTACCAAGAGAAAGAGGGAATAAACATTAATAAAATCTGCCTACCTGCACTGATTGTACTCGTATCAGGTCATTTAATTCAACCAATAGAAACGAAGTCACGTCCACCGCCAGGGAAATGAAACCGAGAACGCAGATACTGTAGCATCTGATTTTAGACAACCAGAATAGTCCGTCCGTTGAAAATAGCTTAATTTATTTACATTTGAAATCAGAGTAATGTTGACAATATGTCGTATTTTGTTTGCTAAACAAAAGTTTTTGGTTTCAGTCCACTATTTTTTTTGGGGTCAACGGCATCAACTGCTAATGTAATATTAGACCAAGATGAACATTCTCTACAAATGTTTATGTAGGATTATTATTTCACAAATTTATTTTTGTTAGTGTGACGATGCCAAATGTGTATTAGGTTGCCTATGTTAATAAAGCATTATTACGAGTATATCATTGAGCTATTTCAAGGAGAATGGAAAATAGCTAAAGTTTGTCTTGTCCGAGGCTAAAAATTACAGACCCATCTGAGCTTTGAACAACTTCGCGAAACTCTTCGAGATAATCTTAAACAACCGCATGTGAGTAAGAGTACCAAATGTAACATACAGATTTCCCGAAGGCTTTTGACAAAATTAATTACAATCTTCCTCTTTATAAACTCATGAGCTTAGTTATTGATTCGAAATACCATTAAAATCTTATCTGAATCAACGTAAACTGTTTCTGTATCATAACATTGAAATACCACAATGTTCAAATTTGGGTCCATTTATTTGTTTTTATCAATGGTCTTTGTGAATCATTGAATTGCAAAAGAATGCATACAGTGCATTTCTTTAATGTCCCGCCTTTTATTTTTTTGAAAGGGCCAACTCAAAAAATTTAAATTTTGGGATAATGGAATTAATGCATGAATACTTTATTTTGAAATGAAATTGACAGATGAAACTTTCAAGATGGCGACTGGGCGCCATCTGGGAAAACACTAAATGGAAAGGGGGGTCTTGTGACACATCTTTTTGAAGCTACTGACAAATGCTTCACAACCCTAGATGATAATGTACCCCTCTTCAACTACTACAAAATGGCGGAACTTTAAATAATTGCCTGAATACATTGGCATTCAACTACATAATATGGGGTAATAAGCTTGAGGTCAGTTCAGAATATGCTCGAAATGGTTGCCTTGAACTTCTTGACATATGAACAGCCTATCCGATATTTCACGCCGAACATTTTCAATTACAGTAATGTCAATATCTTTACAAATATTTATTATTCATTGCCGTATATTCAATATTGAAGCAGGTTCAGTTTAGTACATCTTTTAATTCAAATAGCCACATTAAAAAAGTCCAAAGGTGTCAAATCTGGCGAGCGGGCTGGCTATTCTGTAGGACCTCGATGACCAATCCAACGACCGGGAAAAGTAGTATCCAAATAGTCTCTTACTTGTCTGGAGTAATATGGTGGTGCTCCATCTTATTGGAATACAATATCCATATCGAATTCATTAGGATTCGCTTCCACGATTTCAGTGATGAGAGGGTCAATAGTAGTTTCCAGCATATTCAAATTCAGTTTCCCTGTTAAATTATGATTAATAAATAGAGGTTCTACAATATGTTTTCCGAATATTCCTGCCCAAACGTTAATTTTTTCTGGATATTGGGTATGTGTTTCCCGGAAAACGTAAGGGTTGTTGTAATTTTGTTGCCGTTTAAAAAAATGTACATTCGTCACTAAAACAAATATTGTGGAGATAGGTAGGATGTCTAGCAATGGTTTCCGTCATGATTTCGCAGAATTCTGTTCTTCAATCAGGGTCATCTTCAGTTAATTGATGTACCATTTTAATTTTGTGTGGTGATTGAAGATTAAGTTGTTTGGTTGAGATTTCCACTACTGCGGTAGACACTATCAAAGGCGATGATATAATGGTCGAAGTAATTTACAACGCCGTCAAAAAACCCGGGAAATAACTTGTACACGGTTATCTCCGGCTTTGAAAGTTTACACTTTTTGATTAAGCCATCCACCATGCAATTGTGTACAAGTACCTACTCAACCTACCAACTGAGAAATAAGCTTAGAGGGGATTCCCCTAACTTCGCCAGTCCTGCCTTTCATAGAGTACGACTTTGGATACTTGGTATCTTTGTATATAGATATAGAACATTTAGAAGTCTTAACGGATGCCAATAGATGGCGATGTTTAAGCTAAGATTGCGCGCTACGCCGCGCCTGTCGGGATTTTTTCCATGCGATGACGGTTCTTAAGCTGTGGCTATTTAAAAGGACTATGACTGCATATTATGTGATGAGTCGCTCGATTTGCCGCCCCCTTGGACGTGCCGCCCGTTTTCGACGGGCTTGCATTGGGGTAAAACATCAATTTCATGTCGAATATAATGCCTAAATATAAATGCCTGTTATCTATTTTTTGGATTAGCGTTTCATCTAGATTGGAGGATAATGATTAGAGAATTGAATGTATGAAGATACATCAATTTACAGGAAAAAATCAACACCAGCTTAATGTTGCGTTATCATGAACAAGGCTAGCATTATGAGCATTTGCTGCGATTTACTTTTGTCTTTACATTTTAGTTAATTATTGTTATTTGTTCATAGTTCCATTTTCATTGAAAAGAACACAATGTCTAATTTACCTCATTTATCAAACGAACCAAACTCGATGAAATTTTGATCCAATAACTTGAACATAATTCGATGTGGTTGTCTTCTTTCAAGATACAAGTTTGAATACATTTCCGATGTATTCATATCTCTTTTTTCTTCATTTGTGAAAGCCATTTTTTGGCAAAAATTTAATGACTTGTACAATAACAAAATGTCATTGAGTGTAACAAATTGAAAAGAATATTAGTTAGTATAGACACTCCTGAAGAAGATATTGTATAGCGAAACACGTGTTGCATTTTTGTAAAACTGTGTAGTGAAAATCTCACAATAAAATGTTGTTTGAATACACAAGATCATATTGAAATGAGCGAAGAAGAATGCACAAATTGTCAAAAAATCAACTTCAAGAAGTTGACCTACTCTTGAAATGATGTTGAATCAATTCATGCTGCATGAAATTAAATATGCTAAAGCAATATTTTGACTTTACAGTGATAATGTTAAGGCTACCTCCAATTCTCTATAATATATACTGCCATGATACATACAATTACAACTTGGAAGACAAGTACGAATTTAATGAAAACCTTTACATCTCACAGCATGCAGATGACACTGCCTTAGTTTCACACAACTGCACGCTAGCACCCACAATAGAGGAACTGCAAAATCTCGTCGACAGGACAACGCTCTGGTTCAATAAATGGAGACTGAGACCAAACCCGGAAAAATCACAATTCACCATTTTTCATCACAACCTTTCAGAGACGCTACCAACAATAAACATCAACAATGAAATAGTAAGAAGCAGGCAATCAGTAAAATACTTGGGAGTTAACATTGACCACAAAATCAACTTGAACAGCCATACATAAATGATTAAAAAAGAAATGCATCAATAGAGGAAAACACTTTCGGAGTCTGACAATAAAAAAAAAGGAATCAACATTAAAACTGCAGCTAAAATATATAAAATGATGTCGTCCACTTCTCGAATATGCACAAGTAATTTATTCAAGTTGTCGTAATCCTGCATTAAAAACTCTAAACAGCTGAAACATCTACACTAAGGAGTATTACCAAAATGCGCCACCTTCTGAACGTACTACCCAATCCCTCAAACGCACTGCTTTATAGAACTACAAAAGTGAAACCTATAAAGTAGAGACTATCAGACCTAGGAAACCACTTTGCCAAAAATGAAACTAACCTGGAGACCCTACAGGCATTATGTAGAAAAAGAGCTGAAAGACAACCATCCAAATTCAAATACCCGGAAAAAACTATTTGGGAAAACATCAAATCACTGTCATAATTTATTATTTTTTTGGTTAGAAATATAATGTATTATGTATCTATTATGTATATATTATGTAAGCATATGTAAAAATCACTGCAAATATTTAAAAATTGTACACTGGCTGAAGGACTTCGGTAGATGGTCCTTTGGTATTCACCAATAACTGACATTTATTATTATTATTATTTTGTTAATGCTAATAGTAATTCGGGCTGCACGTTTACACCCTTAGCCGAGGTATTTTACTCCGTATTTTATGTTGGTGTTTCGTATTTCAGACGTTTCATAACTTTTTATAAACGACAAAATTTTGTAACAAACGACCAATTTTCTATTTGTAAACACATTGCATAACAGCTATCCCTAGAAAATCATACAGTCCAAATTCAAAAGTAAATCTATTCAACTAAGGAATGATATCAAAATTTTAAAATAGTACTCTGACAAAAGTATATCACTTCATCGATCAACACTTAGCATCTAGAAACTTCAAACTGAAATTTTTGTTCTCTTCTTTGAGATCGGCAAGTTGTTGAGCTGCTTCTTTGATGTCCGGCTTCAGATCTTGGTACACACTGAGCTCCTTCACAAGTTTCTCTTTAGTTTCTTTTAGATTCCTCAACATTTCCATTTCTTTAGCTATGTTGGGCAAATTGAAATCTGGATCTTTTAGCCACGGGTACTTTTTCTGTAAAAACATGTATACATAAATGTGAAAAGTGACATGAAGAAAACTTACTTCAAACTTTGTGAGTTCATTTTCATACTTCTTCGCCTTTTCTTCCAACTGTTGAACTTCTTCACTACTCATATTCAAAATTCCCAATAATTTGTGTTTGGACTGATCAAGTTCCCTAAAAATATATCCAAGTGTTGTAAACACGAAAAATTAATTCTAATAGTCTATTTATTACTGTTTTTCTTTGGTATATAACCTTCCACAATTTGAAAAATGAACGAAGCTAAATCAATAGAGAATCTGCTAAAGTGTAATAAAGGGGAAACTGAAAATTTCACCCCGAAATGTTATTACGTGATGTAAACCACTGAGTATGACACTTGTTCCATGGAAAAACGGTAAATCTGCGAAAGCCGGTGCTGCTGCCTCAATAGGAGAAAGTTACAAACTACGGAATGGTGTTTTTGGCTCTGAAGCATTATCTTTTATCAATGAAAATGGAAAAAAGGTAACCAATGAAGCCCACGAATCAAGAGCCACATCTTTTCTCATTCAAAACATCAGTACTAAGTCACTTGAACCCCTCCTGTGAAAGTATCTATAGAAGAGAGATGATGGACATTAGAAGACGTCCAATTAGAAGACGTTATGTCTTCTGACGAATGTAGTTTGCCTCATAATAGTCATGCTAATTGGTAAAATTGCCGCTACTGGTCAACGGAAAATCCTCACTAGATGAGAGAAGAATACACGCACTAACCTCAAAAGGTTAATGTTTAGGCAGGGATTGTCATTCCATGTTTAGCAAATTTATATCTTGATCCAGAAAACCCTCAAGTTCCAGTGAATACGATATGGTTTCAGCAGGATGGAGCACCACCACATTACCAGTTAATGTCTGGCAATACTTCGATACTACATTTCCCATTCGGTGGATAGGAAGACGAGGATTGATTGAATAGCCAGCGCCATCACCTGATCTTTCATCATATGTTAAGAGCAATGTGTATAAAACTGAACCTTCAGATTTTAATGACTCAAAAGAACAAATAACACTTGCGTTTAGGTCGGTCACGCCTGATATGTTAAATAATGCTAGAAAACAGTTTTATTCGAGATAAGGATGTTGCCAAGACTGCCAAGTTTACTAGAAGGTTTAGGTTGTCTAAAGCAGGTGTTGAAATATTCAAATTTGCTGTTGTGTGGTAAAAAAAATGCTCCCATTGATTTACATTCCGACAATTTTCCTAAAGTAGAAATTTGGTGTATAAATCAGCCACAGCTATGCTGTCAATTTCTAAGCTGCCGCTGATTCTAGTGTAATGAATAATGTTATAGAATTATAATGGAATGCCAACTGTCACTGATATGATGTTGATTTCGGTTGATTATTTCTAATATAACAATATTTAAACAAAACTGACCTCAGAAAAAAATGTGAGTTACAAAAAAAGAATTGAGACCTGATAGTGAATTATTGCCACTGAATATTTGAAATAACCCTACTACATTTGGGACATCAAAAGAATACACATGCATCATCAAGAAAATACCCAATAAAACTCATACTATTGTAGATCCTTTTCGTCCACAAGTGAAAAACGGTCACAAAACAGTTGTAGTTCATTTTGTTCATACAGAGGAGCCATTGTAATTAAACATTTTAATGTTTTCATTTTGAAGTTTCAACAGTTTAGTTAAAGAAACTGTAGACAGTTCACAGTTCATAGTAAGTAAAATTTATATTGTAATTATAAATTAAATGATTTTGTCCAAAGTTCCAATGTTTACTTAGCCAGATATCAAAATTGGAATGTAAAATATATGATGTATTTGGTGCTGACAAAATCATAGAATACAGTTACTTTTAAATGAATTTCAAAAATGAAAGTAATTGTTCATCACTGATTTCCTATGCACAAACCGATGAAAAATGTGTAATAATTTGTTGCCCCATGTGTACATCACAACTCAAATCTAAGGCAATATTTTCTTTCAGTTAGAAAAAAAATATTACCATTTGGTGAATTTTATTTCTTTAGACAGTCTTTCGTTGAGGTTCATATACATTTTGATACAGATCTTCAGCTTAGATACGTAGTTACTGTGCTTCCTTAGCCTTTCTGTGTGAGATAGTGCCACAGAATTTGTACTCACAGATTTAATGTTCGTGTTTTGCATAATATCACTTATTTTGGATACAGAATCCGATATATCAACCAATAATTTCAACTCATTATTCAAAATCTTGAGCTTTTTGAAAACCAATTCTAATCGGGCATCTGAAAAATCAACAAGTTAAATGAAATACAAACAAGATTTCTAGATCATACTCTCTTCCCTGTAGAACTGAGTACGTTGTTTGAGTAAAACTGAGCATTCTTGCCACTGTTCAGCGGTAATGTTATTTTTCGGTAGATCGTTGGCGATTGGTTTCATAATTTCCATAAGTTTGTCCATGTTGATACTTCTAAGAAGTTATTCTATAGTTCCAGATACAGAAATTATTTTTTAAAGCAAACATCAGCTACCAGTACTTCGCACTTTTTTAAAATCAACAAAAAGCAAAATTAACGACTTTGACAGACAACTGACAACACGTGTTCTTCTTCTCTACTCTAACCACAGAATAATTCTGTGCTTCAATTGGGACTGCTTATTATACCGGTATCGGTAAAATAAACTTGGATGTCATAATTGAAAATAGTTAACCAACTGATCCATCATTTCAAATATTTTAATTCAGCTCGTTGTGTGTTTCAGAGTTTAATTAAAAAGTGCTAATAAAGTGTTTTACAGGATATTATATTCTTGAGTCACTCCAAACTTTGAATTTTTGAACTTTCAATTCATGTAGTTCCCCTGTCGCCGGGCCTGCTCCTGCTGGCTGTAAACTAACTCTAAAGAAGGTGTATATATGCTAAATTATTTCTCCGTGATAACTGATGTGATGGTTTAGCCCAGTTTCAGAAGGTTATAGTGAATCACACCAACCGCTGACAACTATACAGTAACCATAGTCTTTTTTGGTGGGTTTTTGTCTTTGAGAAGTTCCTGGATGGCTCATCGGTGTCCAGCCACTGTCCTGAACGTCTCCCGTTGTTATAGGGGATTCAATGAGAAAAAGTGAGTAAATGAAATGAAATAACTTTACAAAAAATACTTCATTTATTGTATATATTTTCAGCTTTGTATAGTACAACTGTATATTGAATGTATATATTTGGTTCAAAATTATTTTATACTTCGAAAAGCCTGTTCCAAATCAGCGATCAAATCTTCAACGTCCTCAAGACCTACGGATAGTCTTATCAAATTATCAGATATTCCCAGTACCTTTCTTTGTTCTGGTGGAACTGAAGCGTGTGTCATAACAGAACTGAAAAAAATATTTTGAGTAATAGTAGTGTGTTTTAACAGAGTAGGTATGGTATTGGAGTTATATACAATGGCGAAATATTCAGACAACAGTTCTGAAGCAGTTGTATTAGGAAGTTTTTGTAATTTTTTCAGAGCATCACAATAAGTTCATAGTTGTTTTCATTTATTTGTTTCTCCACCCAGAGTAGGCCTGATTATTGAACATTGATTTTATTGTGTTGTTAGAAAACCATTTATACAAATACGTGGCTTTCCTGAGAATATCTGCGAAAATGGATAATTTTTTCTCAAGTTCTCGGATTTAATGAAAATTTTTATGAACTGTCATATATTCAAACTTGAGAACAAAACAATGAATGCTATATATTTTTTTTATCACGACACTTATGATCAAACAAATGAAAGCAATACGCACCTTCATATATCAAAGCTGATTTTCAAAAAATTCATTCACAACCTATTATTTGGATAAATAAAGAATCGAATTAGCTGTGATAGGTACATAAAGTATTTCTTCTAGTCCATTGAGCAACATCCATAATCAAACAATTTTCTTGCTAAAGACTTAATTCAATGTCTATCACTAAACAACAGCAACGTACACGGTCTGCCCAACTTTTCTTGAATTATTGGAAGAATATGTGTGTTATGAAGTGTTGGTATCAATATTTCATTAATATTCAAGCTCCCTTCACCACGGTTAAAATTACTTTCATTGTTGTAAATCATCCCCAGAAAAAAATAACACCGGCCACCACTGGTCGTCGTAAATCAATTGTGACGTGGCGAAGATCGCTCTCAACTCGACTGGTGCTACCATATATAAACGCTGATCATACCCCCATAGAGAAGTTAAGCGACAGTGCGGTGCGGAGTGAATTCAAATAAGGCGATATTAGACGTTTAAATATTGGTTTGAAGTTTTAGTTATAAAGTGTTGTATTAGCAATGAAATAAAGTTAAGATGGACTGCGTGCGGTCAAAGGCATTGTTATGAATGCTTTCTGAGAGAGCTTTTTCTGCAACTGTTGATTTGTCTCTTTGGCCATAGCAACCATAGCTCTGTCGAGCATATTTTCATGCTTCTTTTTGTTGTTTCGATACAGAAAGAGCAACAGCTATAAGGTAGCCACAGTTGTAGACAAAACGTTAGGTCAAGAAATCCACACTAAAAATGAACTCGGAAACAGCAAATCTAAATTTAAAATATTTTCTGAAATAGGTATCGATTATTGTGAATAAACAAGACTAAATAATATAGAGTGTCACAGTCAGTAGAGTGTCTAAACCTTATATTCCTTATATCCCAACTTACGGCAATTCTGCTAAACTTTCATATCCACCCAAACTTTCGGCAAGGGTGAATATTTTTAGGGAAGACAAAAACTTCTTGGATTGTTCCAACCCTCCTTTCAAATAAAACGAGAATACACCACTCTGTCCGCTTGTCTGCTGTTTGTGCAGGAGATGCTGGGGGTGGCATTCCAACCCTAAAATAATAAATAACTTTAGCAACTTGAGGCATAAACAAAGAAGTATCAGATAACAAAAGCCCGTATTCCCCGTATTAAGCTCAGCTTAAATGTTGATGTTATGCATAATTGCTTGGGTCAAGCTTTGTAAAGCCCAAAATGCATGCCTCAGGCCGCTGAAATTCTTGAAGTAAATCATGCTCACCAACCACAATGAACAGCGAGAAGAAGAATTTTATGAGTCAAAGATAACTGGTTAAAATTGTGTAATTTAAGTAGAAGGGATCTCAGATGCCGACAAGATCTTCCATATTTTGGATACTCAGCATAAGGAAGCAGGAAATGACCTCATCATGAAAAAACAAAATAAAATGGGCTTACTGGAAGTTTCGTGGTGGCCTTGGTAGTGGACAGACGTGCCGATAACGTCCGCCCACAAAGGGGCTCCTATTTATGTTGTGATTGTCTATTGTGCAGTCATCAATATGGTAAAGTTAATAATGTTAATGTTATATTCACGCCGGTATCCAGGCCGGGGTGGTTCGGATAACCACGTAAAGGGGCCATGTATGTGAATTTAAAAACCCGAAGGTCTCCCGAAGAGGAGGCGACTCAAAAAATATATGTGGAAAAAATCAAAAGGTCTTTCAAGCAGAAGGCGACAATAAAAAAGTTGAATTGTTTTAATCGTAAAAAAATTCGACAAAAAAGGGATGGCAGCATTGCTTCGAGCAAGACCGCTGCCCACCCACCGACGAAGCTCCTGTGATCTTTGATAGGAGGAGCCTGGACAAATGCGCTTTACTGGGAAGCAACGTCCAACAAAATTAGAAAGAGGTAGAAATGAGCTTACTGAAAATCAGCTAATGAGAAAAAAAGGAGACGGAAGGTTGATTGTGTTGTGGATATATAACTATCTTTTATTTGTAGGTACATTTGTTCTACGCCGATGACACGGCTCTCCTCTCATCTTCCATGAGTCGGGAGCTCGGGGTCGTCTATAGGCAACGTGCATTGGACGACCCCGAGTGGAAGATTCGAGTGAATCCAGATAAAACTCAGGCGATAACCACGGGAAGAACGATATCTTCTCCGGCTAGGAAAGTGAGGGTATCTGGAAGGGAGATCAACTGGCAAGGGCGGGTAAAGTACCTCGGCCTTCGGAAAGACCGTAGGCTCACCTGGAACTTACACATTATATCCGTTAAAACAAGGATCGAGAGATTGCAAAACAAGGATGATTGTGAATACTCCGTGGTTCGTGCGGAATTAAGCCATCCGCAGAGATTTGCAGCTACCTTCCATTCGGCAATACATTCAGTCGAAGAATCAGTGAGTTTTTGATTGCGCAGAAACTCATGATAATCCGTTAGTCAGGGAAGCTATGGATTATGCTGTAGACGACCCCTCCCGATATAGAAGGCCTCGACACTCTGTTGAATGAGGCCTCCATGTCCCCCGTTAACAGATGAACAATTTTTAAATCCATCTCACCCCAGCCAGGTAGGGGTAAACAGTGAAGGGCAGCGCTGATGTCTGAGGACATTCATGTCGCCATCCCACCATCAGTTATGACCTATTTATCACTCTGACAATCATCAGTCGAAAGGATAAAGGAGCTAGGCTTCAACCTGACCTAAATTGAGATGGCTATCGTGTAGGTACATTTGTGAGTTACAATGGTACTTATCAGTACCCACCGCAGACAGAAAGCTAGGTTAGGGTAATAAAAGCCTGGTTTGAATCAAGTCGAAGGCGTAATTTTAAACGAGCTTAAGGCTGATTTTTGTTACGATTCATATGAATTTTACAAATTAGGCTAGCTCAAGCTCTTGAGCCAGGTTCAATACTCTACGAAGAATACGGCCATAATAAGCCGCCAAAGTGAAAGGTTTATATTTAAACGGGCTCAAGGCTGATTTTTGTTACGATGCATATGGAATTTTCGAATTGAGCGAGCTTAAGGCCTAGGATAAGCTTAATACTCTACGGAGAACACGGCCAATATCTTACATAATTACCTGGGTGAATAACTTTCTCTACTTGAGGATGATTTTTCAAATAAACTGCTATTTCCATTCCAGCCCGTTGATGTTGCTGCATTCTTAGAGCCAATGTCTTGAGACTTCTATTGACTTGAGAACAATCAAACGGTGAAGGGACAATCCCCATAGCTATTTGAAAAAAAAGTTAACGTAGATAACAATAAATCGATTGAAATTTCATACCATTTTGAAGGAACTTGAGCTTTTCATAGAGGTCCTGATTTGAAGTAGATATTGATCCCATGATAACATCGGAGTGTCCATTCATATATTTTGTGAGAGAGTACACTACTAAATCAGCTCCAAGATCCAGCGGTCTTTGAAGATAGGGGGTAAGAAAAGTGTTGTCTACGGCGAGGACAATGTTGTTCCTTTTAGCAATTTCCGAAGCAGCCCTGATATCGATGACTTTCAGGGTGGGATTTGTCGGTGTTTCTATCCAAATTAGCTGAAAACAATGTGTTTAAAGTTCTACGTTGACTGAAATGTACATTAATAGTTTACCTTGGTAGTGGGTTTGATTGCTTTTTCCAGATTGCGAATGTCCACTAAATCAACCATTGTCACATCGATATTATAGTTTGCAACCACCCTGTTGAAGAGTCTGTTGGTTCCTCCGTAAACATCATCCCCTACGATGATGTTATCGCCACTTTTCAGCATGCCGAAGACAGCAGTGATCGCGCCTAAACCAGAGGCAAAGGCGAGTCCGTAAGTGGCATTATCTAGTTTGGCAAGAACGTCTTCTAAAACTTCCCTGGTGGGATTCCCGGATCGACCGTATTCATATTTCTGAAATATACGACTTGGAATATGTGAATGTTTTTAGAAATTAGATGAAGCGACTGAATTTTCCCGAAAAAATCGTGCTTCCTGTGATAACTACCTTATATTTATTACAAAAGTGCATGTGTGGAGGTTGTATAGTCTAAGTATATAAAGTTAATCCGAACAGCTGAATAAAAGACTAATGTCCGGGTCTGATGAATTTACTAGTTAAATACCACATAAAACCACCAACATAAAAATGATTAGACCTCGTATATATACCACGCCGCCCATGCCATACAAAGAAACTATCGACGTTCGGTAACTATTTAGTTTTCATGCCATTCGAATTGACTTCATATATACCTACTATACTTTATCGATGTATTGAGCATGAGTACATGCTTAAGTAGATACCTTAGTATCAGCTGGGCCGTATTGCTTAAAAGTTGTGGACATGACTATGGGCGCAACAACGGCCATTGAATTCCAGAGCTCTGCTTCTTGTCCATGATGAATAGAAGCGGTTGCGAATCCTTTGGGGTATGGAAGGTACCCGTCATTTTGAGAACTTCTGTTGGAAACGCCATTTCCAATATGTTCCTTTTCTTTTGACATTTTGTTACTGGGTGATTATCTATAAAAATGCCAAGTGTGAGGTCTACATATATAATAAACGGACTCTTTTGAATCAAAAAGTACACGTTCAATATTAATTTATTATAACCGCCACAGATGACCTCAAAAGATACGCGTAATATTATTTTTCATCGCTGAAGAGGTTAAACCATTTTTTCGGGTCAAAGGAACAAACAAATAAACTCCATGTGGCTGAAAAATCGAAAACCTATTTACCAGTCCTGGAGGCGAGATTCGAAATGTAAATTGGATAAAAAATAGCAAAACGGGTGGTATAGGTATACCGGGTGTCCCAGAGCTTTTAGGCCAGCAGATATCTCAGTCACCTGCAGAAAAAAATTTAAAAAAATTATGTATATCATAGAAGACCACCAGCACTTTCATGTAGCGGAGCAAAATCCACCCCCTCGCGAGCAACCCCTGCGAAACCACCCCTAACTTTTGTTTTTCAAATGGCAACCCCATGCTGTTTGTCGTTCAACTGAAAACAATAATCTATTGCAATTTAATGATTCACAAAGACCATTGATAAAAACAGATAAATGGACCCAAATTTGAACATTGTGGTGCCGTTATGGTACACAAACAGTTTGTGTTGATTAAGATAAGATTTCAATAGTAATTCGAATCAAGAACTAAAGCTCATTAGTTTATGAAGAGGAAGATTGTACAACGGTCGAATGTGTAACCATTGTATGACGGAATCAACTAAACCTATTGCATAATTAGTGTGAACAAAATTACTTGCCATTTGACAAATGAAAAGTCATTACTTTTTGTAGAAAGAATGTAATGATAAACTACCAATATTGCATTAACGATAATAAAGTTATTCAAATCTTACTCGAGAAAGCTACTGTATAGCGAAACACGTGTCAGTCTTGTAAACCTTTTATAGTGAACACCAAAATGAATTTTATTAGCAAGTTTTGATTTTTAAAAGATTGTAATAATTTGTGTGACAGATGGCTGTGTACATTTCCAGTTCCTTTCACAGAAATTGATTACCCAAACTCTCATAAAAGTTCGGGACAATTGATATCACCTTATTAAAATTGTGAAGAAAGTAGCGGTCGAAGACGAATCTCCATTTTTCAGGTGATTGAAGATTAAGTTGTTTGGTTGAGATTTCGACGGTGGTCTGCAGGTTTTGATCCCTGGCGTTTCGTCCACTACAGCGGTGTGCTCGAGTAATTTACAACGCGGTCAAAAAACCCGGGAAATAACTTGGACACGGTTATTTCCGGCTTTGAAAGTTTACACTCTTTGCTTAACTGTAAGTACCAAAAGTTATTTCTCTTTTGAATGCTGATGAATTTTTTTAAACCATTTTGAAGTTCTCAATCCGATAAAAATGATAAGGCGACCAAACAAGACAGCAGTACAAAAGTTTGTGTCAAATGGAAAATTCCAATGAGGAGTGTATACCAAACCTAGGTCGAGATGTGTTATTGATATGGGGGTTAATGTGTCATCCACCATTGTTTATCCACCATGCAATTGTGTACAAGTACGACTATGGATACTTGTATCTTTGTAAATAGATATAGACCATATACAAGTCTTAACGGATGCCAATAGATGGCGATGTTAAAGCTAAGATTGCGCGCCGCACCGGTCGGATTACGTTTCTCAAGCTATGGCTATTTAAAAGGACTATGGCTTTGCATATTATGTGATGAGTCGCTCGATTTGCCGCCTCCTTGTACGGGCCTGCATTGGGGTAAAACATCAATTTCATGTCGAATGTAATGCCTAAATCACTATGTCACCTACTTTTTGTATTAGCGTTTCATCGAGATTGGAGGATAATGATTAGAGAATTGAATATAAAGGTACATCAATTTACAGGAAAAAATCAACACTAGCTCAATGTTGTGTAATCACGAACAAGGCCAGCATTTTGAGCATTTGCTGTGATTTACTTTTGTCTTTATATTTTAGTTAATTATTGTTATTTGTTCAAAGTTCTATTTTCATTGAAAAAAACAATGTCTTATTTACCTCATACACACCTCATTTATCAAATTTTGATGTTGATTCTGTCTCCGTATTTTTTCATCGGCTTTTCAAACGAACCAAACTCGATGAGATTTTGATCCAATAACATAGTTCGATGTGATTGTCGTCTTTCGGGATACAAGTTTAAATACATTAACGATGTCCTAAGATTGTTTCTATCGTATTTGTAACAAATTTGTATCATATCTCTTTTTTCTTCATTCATGAAAGCCATTTTTCGCCAAAAATTTAATGACTTGTACAATAACAAAACATATTTTTGTTTTAATTTTTGTTCTGCAGGTAACTGAGATATCTGCTGGCCTAAAAGCTCTGGGACACCCGGTATAATTAGGATATGGGGAGACTCCCTACTTGAAAACAATTGAAAAATAACTATTGCGAGATCATTGCGCCTTCTGGAGAGGAATTTCCAATGAATGGGGTTGCGAGGGTCCTCAGAATACGTTTGATTGGAATTCGGTTTTGAGATGATAGGCAAAGTACATTTTCATAAATCTAGTGAGACCTCCTAAATTTGTTCAAGAGTTGGAAAACTTAGAAACTCTCAGTTGGGGTACTTTGTAAACTCAGCTCGAAAGTTGGAGACCTGAGAAGTTCTTTCTTTTCATCTTTTGTTTTTTGCCGGGAGAACTGTAGAGTCAGATTATTTGCCGGAACTGCTAAGGGGAGATTGTTTTCTCTCCTGATGCAGATTTTGGTTCTGTCCCTCAAGAATATGGTGCAAGACAAACTCATAAAATATGCTCTTTTTGAGCAGACAGTAAGTTGCTTCCTGACTGTATAACCTATTAGATTTGTTCAAAGGTTAGAAAACTTAGAAACTCCAACTCTCAGTCGGGGTCCTCTGTGAACTCAGCTCAAATGTTGGAGAACCGATAAGCTCTTTCGTTTGATCCTTTTTTTACACAGAGGCCTGTAGACTCAGGTTATTTGCAGAAACTGCTCAAGGGGAGATTGTTTTCCCTCCTGATGCAGATTCTGCTCCTGTTGCTCAAGAATATGGTGCAAGAAAAATGCATAAAAAAAGCTGTTATTGAGGAGGCGATCAGTTGCCTAGCCTCCTAGGTTTGTTCAAGAGTTGGAGAACTGAGGAACTTCTGCTCTTGATTCGATGATCTCTTCTTTAAACTTGGCTCAAAAGCTGGAGAACTGAGAAGCTCTTTCTTTTGCTTCTTTGTTACAGGAAGAACAGTTGGAGTCGTTTGGTAGACGTTCAGCTCCTCTGTAGACGCAGGTTCGAGTTTTTTGGTTACTTCATGGTTCATAAGAGGTCCAATAGTTAGCTAGACAGAGAAGGTCCATCACGAATAAGACCTGCTTTACCGCGATAAGGATTCTGAGTCATACATCCTTCCGGCATGAATACACATACCTCATGACGAGGCATCATTTAGGTAGACTCTTATCTAAACGAGTAGGAACGTGAAACATGAACTACTAACGCGTTTGGCTTCAGACAGCTACGTGGAAAGATAAAGGAAATCACGAGGGGTGAATGATTTTATATTTATAATATTGTGTTTAGCACGTTTGAAACGTAAAAAATATTTATCGAGGCCGAAATTAAATAAACTAAGTTGTGAGTGTGCCCCTAAATAAATGAGAAACATTATAGCCCAAAACTTTTATATTCTTCTGAACGAGCATAACAAGTGGCTTTAGGAAGTGTTTTCATTTTTTCAAATGAAAATAATAATTTGAGATCTGTGAATTCCAATTTTTGTCAAATACGTCCGAAACCCGCAAAAAATGTTCAAATTTCTTTATGGCATATTTCTATGAATAGGTGTAGCTAGATGAATTTATCTGCGGTTTTCTTCTTAACTTTTGGGTTTGGCTTCCAGGTCATTATCCAGCTTCGACAAAATTGCCTGGAAAGATTATTGTCCCTTTAGTCTCTTCCACGCTAGATTTTTTGCCTTTTTCTCATTTTCTTCTTTTCTTAGTTGTTTTTCAGCGTCCCACTAGCTTTTGAGAGTTAGTATAAAGAAGGTAAATGATGTAATGATACATATTCAGAAAATAGAGGAATAGGGTATGAGAACTTATTTGTCTTCTTATAGAAAGCGTTGTTATGAATAACTCCTGTAGATGTATTCATGTGAATTCATTCTATCCTCAGGATACGCCTATGCCATTATCTTTGCTGGTGTTTAGAGTAGGTAGAATACAGAGTGTTCCACAATAAGCGTGTGTTGTTCATGCCGACATATTTTATACGCTTTCTAGTGATAAAGATTTTATTTATGGAACATACGATTCAAGGTCGTAAAAAATCAATCTCAGATTTTAAACACTGGCAAACAACAAATGTTTCACAATATATTGGTAATACATTATCAGTAATTACAAAATATTGAAGAAAGTCCCTGAAGATAAGATATCTTTCTCTCTGGTGCAACCATGAGCTAATTCACTAAATTATTCAAATGCGAGAATATTTTCCGGTATTAGATTCGGATGAGACATCTGTTTAAAAAAATCTGTTTTTCCGTATCTGTATATCTGTTTATATGTTCTGTTTATCTGTTTATATGAACATTCTTTCAAGTGTTATGGACGGTTATTGAACTTCCATCTATCATGAAATGAATAAATCTAAAAGACTTTTTGCCGTTATAACGTGAATTGCAAAACTTTGGTATTTAGAAATTTGAGGGGTGGATAAGCAATTGTCATAAGGAGTTGTTCAAATGCTCATGTACTGAGGGGCTTACGAATTGAAATTTCAAAGTTATAATACACTTTTTCAGAGAATACTAAAATAATAGAGTCACAAAAATTGATAATGATAAAAACTAAAGGCATATAGATATTCGATAAGGATTAAGTTAATATTATTATTATTTTTAACTAATATATTATACTTTCAGACATGAATTTCTTTTTTTAAATACTCATTTTATTAAGTCACCTTTGCACGGGATCAATTAGGAACTCTGCAACACCTGATCAGAATTTGGGTAGTCCTATTTCCAATTTGCGTTTTGTAGAAAAATACATATTTAATATGACGCTACTTTGATGAACTTCTAGAGAATCATTTATTACCTCTTTAAATTAATGTGCATGTGGAAAGGTTCGAAACAGTGGGAGGGTAACTTACCAAAAATTCTTGTACGACTTGCATAAATTCAAATACTAATTTCAGTGAGATATGTCCTAACCAAACGTCGTACAAAAAAATGGATAGAAAATAGAAGAAAAAAAATCATTTTAGGAGAAGTGACCTCAATATGAAAGGTGATACATTTTCATATCAAAAAGTCATTTATATTGTCATGTGGCATAAATTAGTTGGTATAAGGAGAGGAAAAGATACGATCAACCGTACAAGAATAAATGACCTTGAACTCTTATTCTAAGGTTGGGAGCATCTTGTGTTCACACTCTTACAAATTTATATGACAACAAAATGAATTACCGTCTCTTTTTGATATTGGTCTGCCCGTTCTGTGCATGGATATACTTTTTTGAATAGGTATATTGCTTCTCTAACCAATATTTTTTGGAAACACTAGTTATTATAAAGAGCTGACAGTTTATTCTGTGTAAACGGATTTCATGATAGACAAATGTATCAATTAATATTTGTATTTACGGTCTTTATGGCAATAATTAAAACTTTCCCTGAGTTTGACGTTCGAATTATTGAACCTAGATGTCGCCGACTGTAGGAGTTCAGAATACGGGACGGGAAATCTAGCCACTATTTCAGCCACGGGTTAGCACAATGACTAATTTGAATATATAAATTATGCAAAATTTGGTAATTATGAACTACAATTTTCATTAATTTATAGAACTAGAAGACATAAACAGTTTTGGGCAGGATCTATTGTATTTATCATTAGGCCTACGAATATTTCTGAAATATACGNTATTACGGTGGAATTTCCAATTATTCACGGAGACTCACCTCAATTAGTTCACTTAAAAAATAAAACTTGGAAGAAAGGTAGGCCGTCGCCAATAAATTGCAGTCCACTACTATTAAGCACTAGACTCGCCGACTTCTAAATGCGCCCACAAACTCAACAATTCATAACAAAGAATGAGCTATAAATGATTGAAACAGCCCATAAAATTATGAAACAAGTCGAAGTAGTGCCGGTTTTCTGACGAGACAAATTCGCATGCAAAATCACAGGCGGCACTGTAGGGGAAAAAGGAATCTTATTATGTAACAAACATCAATTTTTTTGTGGGTTTTCCTGTGACGCATTTAGTTCTTAGTTCCATTTATTCAGAGTATGGAAATTGAAGTCGTTGGCGTTCGAAGTAAACATGTTATAATTTCTGTATATGCACTTCAAATATATCTACTTTATTCAGTTTTTAATAGGTACTTTACTATAAGTGTACAAGCCAGTAGAATAAAATTTTATTACCTACTCCCTTGTTCAGGTGAGACAAATAATAATATAGTCATGCTTTTTTGGTCTCCCACCGAAACCGGCAAAATAACTAGGATTGTGTACCTACCTATACTAAAGAAACGTCAGTATTAACAATTGTAACAAACATTTCAGTAGGCATTAATAATTGTTTTTGTGTTTCCTCGCAAACTTATTTCCAAAAATTCTGTCGGTTGATGCAATACATAAAATGCAAAATACAATACAGGAAAAATACTCAAAAAGCAATTTAATAATAATAATGACAATAATTTTCTGATAGTCAAGTGTAATAAATGCTCATTTCAAATACAAAACGGAAACAGGGTGATTTGCGACAGCTGGTATAGGCGAATTCATAATATTTTGCCAGGTAAACATCCCAAACCACCTGCAGTGGCGTGCGTTTAGGTATTCAATCAAAAATAATTTTTGAAACTAATACAGTGTATTTCTTTAATGCCCGCCCTTTTATTTTTTGAACGGGTCAACTCAAAAAATTGAAATTTGGGATGATGAAATTAATGCATGAATACGTTATTTTGATGTGAAATTGACAGATGAACTTTCAAGATGGCTACTGGGCGTCATCAGAGAAAAAAATTAAATGGATACGGGGGTCTTATGACACATGTTTTTGAAGCTCCTGACAAATGCTTCACAACCCTAGAATATAACGTCAATATCTTCAACTATTATGATTGCATGACTACATTGACATTTAACTACAAAATATGAGGTAACAAGCTTGAGGTCAGTTCAGAAGATGCACGAAATGATTGCCTTGAACTACTTGACATATGAATAGCCTATCCGATATTTCACGCCAAACATTTTGGAACACAGTAACGTCAATATCCCTACAAATATTTATCATTCTCAGCCGTATATCCAATTTTCAAGCGGGTTCAGTTTCGTATAACTTTTAATTCAAATAGCCCCATAAAAAAAGTTCAGAAGTGTAAAATCTGGCGAGCGGGCTGGCCATTCTGTAGGACCTCGACGGCCAATCCAACGACCGGGAAAAGTAGTATCCAAATAGTTTCTTACTTGTCTGGAGTAATGTGGTGGTGCTCCATCTTGTTGGAATATAAAATCCATATCGAATTCATTAGGATTCGTTTCGACGATTTCAGTGATGAGAGGGTCAACAGTAGTTTCCAGCATATTTAAATACAGTTCCCCTGTTAGCGAGATTCTATGTATGAGTAAATCCCATATTTAATAAAATAAGTGGTCATTGTAAAATTAATCCAAATCATAATAGACCTTATCAATTAAAATGTCGCTTGATTTTTTCCTGAGACTAGTCAAAGAATAACTGTTCAGGTGCATAGGAATTTTATTGTACACCTTTATTCCATTGTATACAAATGAATCCTTTACCAATGTTGTTGTGGGCAGGGGAAGTCTGATCAAGTTAGCTTGGCGTGTATTATAGTGCGGCCCGTTTGTATCAACATGACCAGATATATTTTTGTAAATCAGACTTACTGTTTCAAGGATTAACAGAGAGATTATCATAAGGATTAATTGTTCAATGAATACTGGTTTGGAGTGTTCTTAAACTCCTCAAATAGTATTTTGACATCTTTCATTTTGAATGCCGTGTTGTTCCAACACAGTTGCAACAATAGTTCTTTTTTACCTGTACTTTCATCAATAGTCGAAGTCACTTAATGATATCAGCTTTTCCCAATGCATTAATTGGTATTCTTCCAATTTTTCTGATGATAACTTGCATTATTCAACACAATCACAAAGTTAATTGGATTGAGGTCCAACATTTGCTCAAAATGTTGTCCAAACAAATCGTCGTTCCAATGTGGGTGATAATCAGTTGCTTTCTTTTTGCAGAAGGCGACTTTATTCTGATAGACCAGCCTGCTTAAAATTCTTGATGTGAATTTGTAACTTTTTTGTCGTGCCACATCTTTCCAAAAGTATATTCTTCGTTTTGGTTGGTTTCCAGGTTTTTGCCGTGGTGTTCTTTGGTTCTTTGCAGTTAGAACTTCGAAGATTGTAACCAAAGAAGACCACGGCAAAACCCGGAAACCAACGAAAATATTGACGCCAGCCGCCAAAGCCCAAATTGCTATATATTATTTTCTTCGTTAATCTATGTAATCATGACGTCTTCCTTTTTCCCAGCGGAAATTGAAAATATCTCAGGTATGCCAGACTTAACCAGGTGAGCTGTGCATGTATGTGTTACATTAAAAAGTGCTTTTCGTAGAAAGTTTTGAAAATTTTAGTCGAAATTCAAAAGCAAAAACAATTTTGGGTGTCGTTGAAAAATAATGTATCTATCAATTATAATTGCGAGTGTTCCATATTTTTGTTACTCACCGTACAACTATATGAAGTCTTTTGAGATTTGTTATATAAAATTATACAACAACATTGAATGTTTTAACAGACTCAGTTATGTACGCCTATGGAATAGCTACCTGTAAATGATTTATTACTCTGATGCTCAAAGAAATATACTGGTAATGTAATATTGTACCAGTGGTGGATCCGTGGAGGGTAAAAGGGTAATTACCTCTCTCCAAAACTCGAATACCAAAACCGAGTTGGGTTCATTTGAAAAGCCGCTACCATTTGGCAAAATCGGTTATAGCTAATAAAGGACAATGAATCTGTTACCTGTATGAGACGAACAAAGATGACATATTTTAGAGGCGNAATATGTGTAAGCAGGAGAAAATAAAAGGTCTTACGGTAAGTAGGAATTAGTCTATTTCTCTAAAATGCAGCACAAAAGCAATTTATGAATAACAAGGGTATCAGATCGATGTGGATTTTTTAGATTTATGTTTTTGATGGTGTTTTGAACAATCATACCAACTTCAAGCTGGGTGCGAATTTTTGTACCCTCAGACGTCTAAATTGATCGGAAAAATGAAACACGCATACTCTTATATAGCATCTTCTCTGACGACTTGAAAACGGAGACAAAATAGTTAACGTTTGCTAACCTAACCTTGCACTCGGTACATCGAAGAGAGATCATTAACAACGATCTTGAGGCCTTCGCAAAAGCTGGCTACTTATCAATCCTGACAAGTCAAAATTTATGTTGTTTGGAAGTAAATATCAGTGTCAAAGAATGGAAAACTTTATCAATATTACAGTGAATAATAGGCAGCTGGAAATGGTGAAGGAAGCAAGAAACTTAGGAGTGATTATATGGACCTTGACTTGAGATTTGAGAAACATATAAATATATAATTACAACGGGCGTACTGCAATCAGAAAATGATATACAATAATTGATATTTGCGAACCATTCAAGTTAAAAAATCATTATGTGAAACATTAGTTTTATCAGCCTTAAATTATGATGACTCTCTACGGCCCCAATTTAACAACAATTCATAGGAAAAAGATGCAGAAACTTCAAAAAACACATGTCTGAGATTAATTCACAGTATCTAAAAACTCTCTACGGCCTAATTTAACAACACTTTTTAAGAAAAAGATACAGAAATAATGAAATAATAACAAAACAAATTCCTCCTTATTCACACAATAAAATAACTAACCGTACATACATGATTTGAATTTCAGAATCGAAGGCCTACTGACTGTACTTTCCTTCAGATTCGAATATTGTTGTAAATGATGCCCTAAAGAAAACACCGGCCGCCACTGGTAGTCATAAATCAATTGTGACGTAGCTAAGAGCGCGCGAATGTTCGATGTTCGCTGCCGTACAAGATGTGGCGGGAATAATACTACCGGCTTCGATGGAATTTCGAGAAATTTTGCAGCGCCTTCGATTGCCAAATATAAGCGCCATCCACTCGCCCATCGAGACAGTCACGTGGAAGTTACAGTGCGGTAAGCGGAGCGATCTAGTAAGGCGATAGACATTCGAACAATACTTGAAGTTTTAGTTGAAGTGTTGTTTGTATTCGAAGTGAGATAAAGTTGAGTTTTATTATTGTTTAGTATAGTCAATTATTGGTCAACCCGCGGGGAAAAACGTAAAATTTGGTGTCAGAAGTGGGATTTGAACCCACGCCTACAACGCATTTACTCAAAAATTGCCAGACAACGGATGTTTTGCCGTAAGACACCTGCCTTATTGGCTCTTTAGTCGCAAATACGGGTAACATTATAAGAAAGAACACTCAATTCTCGTTTATAATTACGACTTTTCATCACGGAATTGGTTGAATCCACCCATCATCGATGACAGTACGTAAATAACATTCATTCGCTCATTTGATTAATTCCCAGCCATAGGAATCTTGTTTGAATTGAAAGGGTATATTTTAGGAATGCTTAATTTTTGGGAAAGTTTTTGGCCTTCTACTTCTCCATCTTGATACAAAAAATGTGAGAATCTTAAAAAACAGGAAGGCAGCAATCAATTTCAATAAATAATTCTATTTCACATATAGTCAGTGGGCATACTTGAAGGCTGGCTATAAATCTAATCATCTGAAGGAACAATTTGTTCAGGCCAGTCTCAACTCCCTACACTAAAGGTTAATGGAATACAACTACTCCCCTGGCTAATACCATGAAAGGGGGTTTGATTATATCCGACAGGTGTCAGTGCGAGATTCTTCACTGAAATTATTCCTGCATATGCAGTTGGCGATACAACTGCCTCTGTTAGGCCACTCGTCAGTGCAGGGTAGTGTATATCATCAACATAAAGTCGATGATTTCCGATGATTGAAAATCGAATTCCGTCAGAGTATCATTCCTCGAACTAGGCTGAAGATGACAACAAACAACAGATTTGTCATCGCCCTATCTGCCTGTGAACGAGGTAACCAACCGCATATCCAAATTTGCNGGAGAAGTGGATAGCCGAAACTTTTCTTTCCCAAAAATTATTGTCTCCTAAAAATATACCCTTTCAATTTATAATATTAATAATTATTGAAGCTTTATCTCAAAAAAAATCAAAGAATAAATTGAAATAGGTACGGTGTTTTGATGTTCAACAGTGTATTATGGATTTGTTAACAGGTACATCAAAAAGCAAGAATTCACAATCCGACTAGAACCGCATTGGAAAAAATTTTAAGCGTCCTGAACAAAACCAAGTACAGTCTGTGTTTTTCATCTGGTCTGGGAGCTATAACGGCCGTTGCTGCGGGTTTGCTAAAATGTGGGGATCATATCGTATGCACTGATGATGTATATGGGGGCACTTCTCGTTTGTTCTACGAAATGCTGCCACCACTGGGAATAAAAACTTCGTTCGTGGACTTTTGCGATATGAAGAACGTTGAAGAGGCCATCACGCCCCGAACTAAAGTGAGTTATCTGGATTTTCAATCTCTCTTTAGATAAATTGGAAAGAAATAATTAAAATTAACGATTAAACTCTAGAAAAATAAATAAATGAAATTACAGTATGTTGTATACTTACTTACTCCTCAACTGAAACGGAAGTCACAAGTTTCCAACCCAACGGTGTCGAAACTATATTGCCTCCCAAAAATCCATGAACCGGGAAAATCAATGCGCCCCATCGTGTCAGCTATTGGAGCTCCTACCTACCAAATAGCGAAGTGGCTCACTAAGGTATTTGAAACCTTGTCTATTGCGGAACCAGGTTTTAGTATAAAAAACTCTTTAGAGTTCATACAACATACAAAAAACATGGTTCTGCAAGAGGGTGAGATTTTGATTTCTTTTGATGTTAGTTCATTATTTCCTAGCGTCCCAATTCCACAGACCTTGCAATACCTCAGGGAAC